CGCCCAAGCCACTCTGCAGACTCCAACGCCCAGCCCCTGCGACATGCGGTTGTAGATTCCTCCCGGCCCCTGCCCACCGCCCCACCAGTAAAGCATCTGGTCTTTTTTCTTTATCTGCCTTGGCTTTATTTCTTCGCGGCGGGAAGAACTTGCGCGCAGGTTCTGAGCCGACGGACAGTGCGAACTGTAGAGTGGACCGCAGCGACTCCGCGAAGATTCGAGGGCGGGGAAGTGGCGCCTCTTCGCCCAGCGGCTGGGTGAGAGCTCGCGGGGCTCGTAGCCGGGCGCGGGACCTGATCCGGCCGCTGGAGGGCGCTTCGGGAGGGCCTTTGCCCAGCGAAACCTGGTGGACAGGAACCCCCCCCCCCACCGCGCCGTCGGCTCAGCAGGTGGCCTCTGGGCGAAGTGGCCAGCCCTCCCGGTCCATGCTGCGCCGGCTCCGAGGCTCAGCCCTCCACAGCCATCCTTTAATCAGCATCTGCCGGGCTCCCGGGACTCTGCTAAAGAGCTTGGGACAGACGGGAAACCGAGGCATGTCTTGACAGCCAAGAACTAGACGCTGAGACGCGGCTGGAGGTCGCCTCTAGACAGCGGGCTACAGACCCGACCTGTGTGGCTTTTCTTGACGCTGAGTCCCAGACCAGGGGGTGTCCCGACTTGCCCAGGCTACGCACTTCCCTGCTCCCCCGAACCTCCGCCAGTAGCTCCGCTCCCAACCCGCTGCTCCCCCCTCCCCCGCAGGTGGGTGGAAAAGTGACATCTGGTGTTGTTCCAGAGGCGCCCAGGTCCTCGGCACCCCCCCTCCACCCCCGCCGCCAAGGCCTCGGAGGAGCTCTGGCCCCAGAGTCTGGGCGTGGGGGTGGGGGGGCGCGCTCCGCCTCCTCTGAGTCAATATTTGCCCCGAGCAAACGGGCGCCCGGACAGGTGTGAGTGTGTGTGTGTGTCCAGGGGCGGGGACTGGGCAGGCGGTATAAGAGTGCGCTGAAACCCGGCTCCGGCACTAGCTCCGGGGTGTGGGCCGGGGACCAGGCCAAGCGGGCCGTGCCGGGTGGAGGGTGGCCCGGAAGGGAGGGGTGGCCAGGTGCACCTGTGGTAGCCGCCGCTGCCGCCGACGTGTCAAGCGGCGGAGGCGCGCAGGTGAGGCCAGCGGCTAGCGGAGTGCCGGCGGCCCTGCGCCCGCGGAAGACTGCGACCAGGAACTCACCGAGGGCCGAGGCCGGCCCCGGGCCCTCCGCTCCCGCCCCGCGACGAGCCCCTCGCACAAACCGGACCTGAGCGTTTTGTTCGTTCGGCTCGCGTGAGGCAGGGGCGGCCTCTCATCGCCAGCCCAGGGGCCCGGCCGGATCTACACGCAGGCACCTGCCGCCGCCGCAGCCAGACGTGTCGCAGAGGCCGTGCGCGCGCCGCTCCCAGGGGAGATCCGGTTCCCATCCGGCCCTGCTGGCCTTGCCTTGCCCTATCTGCGACTCCAGTGCGGCCTCGCTCGAGTCCCTGTCATCCGAGCAGGCTCCATCGGGTGGCATAGGGGGCTGTGGCCAGAACAGGGGCCTTTCTGCAGGTGGAAACCTGGCTTCTGGTCTGGCTCTCCACAGCGACTTCTGTAGCCTTGGGCAAGTCATTTCTGGGTCTCTCCAGGTCTTTCCCAGTAGCACTCTGAAGGGGGCTGGTCTGACCTCCTGTAAGGGATTCCCCAGACCCCATGCCTAGCTCAGGGCAACTACTAATAATACCTTTGAGGCCCCACACCCTTCAAGGGGTTGGGCAGTAGCTTCCAGGACTGGAAAGTGTGGGGAGGCCCACTGAGAAGCTAAACCCCAGAGTCCGCTCGCTGCTCCAGATCTCTGGAGAACATGACTGCCATCTCCCTGGCCCTTACTTCAGGGGCCCATGTCTCAGTCAGTGAAAGGGGCAAACACAGGGTCCTGCAGCCCTACCTGAGGGGGATCCTGCACTGCCACCACCTTTCCCAAGCTTTCTGCTACCCATCCCCCCTTGCCCCCCCCTTACTCTCCCCCCCCCCCCAGTGACTTAGCCTCTTCTTTCTCAGCAGGGTTGGGGTGGGTGTCAGAGGCGTCAGTTTAGGCAGGAGGCCGAGGGTCATTAACCAGAACCTAAACCTGAGCCAGACCATCTGCCTTTCCAGTGGCTCAAAGTGCTATGATCTGGGGGGATGAGGGAGGACCCAAAGCACCATGACCACCCCCTCCCCCACTGCTGTTAAGAGAACTGGGAACTGCGGCTCTTACAAGGCCTAAATCCTGCCCTAGACCGGCCTGCTGACCTTGACCTGTGACTCCAGGGGTCCTCCATTCCCCCAATTGATGATGTTGTGCCTGTTCCAGAGAGTGGAGCCAGTGGTAGGTCATGGGGTAGAAGGAAGGAATAAGGAGCCCCAGTTTCCCCTTCGGGTAAGGAAGCATCTAGGGGCAGGACTATATCCCCCCCACCACACCCACAAAGGGGCAGCCTCCAGGAGAGGAAGCGAGGGTGAGGAGCCACTGGTCCCTCTGGCTCTAAACTGGATATCCTGGGAGTGCTCTCTTGTCCCCTCCCCACCCCCCAACTGCACTCCATCCCTCACCCAACTACCCGCAGGCCCCAAGGGATCTGCTGAGTCCTTGGCACGGAGAAAGGGGGGGAGGGGACGAGAGGGCTCTGACAGATCCCAGGCAGGTCTGGAGAGAGGGTGGACTGGGTGGGCTGCAGCGGGTGGCAGCCCTGGAAGGGGACGTCCATGTGACCCCCAGCTAGGGTGTGTGCAGACCCCCACCAGGCTTCTGACCTAGGCCCAGTTCTGTGCTCCTCACCTGGCACAGAATGACTTGCTTGTCAGGCTGGTCAGATTAGCTTTGCACTGCCTCTCTGCTAAGGCCACGCTGCCGGCTGCTGCCAGCCTTCCAGGCGGAGGGCTTCCTCTCCCCTCCCCCAATCATGGGAGGGGGTGAGAGCGTCCCCACCCTCCTCTGTGGGGGTTCCAGATCCTTGAGTTTCACAACAAAGAGGTTTCCCCTGGAATGACGACCCCCACCACCACCACCCATCTACACACAGAGCAATATGTTGTGTGGGGGAGAAGAGTGAGGTCACTCAGTGGGCTGGGGTCTGCCCCTGTGGCCGAGAATCACTGCTCCCCCACCCCACACCGGGGTGAAACTCCTCCCCCCATAACGACCCGAATTTCCTGGCTTAGCTGCCAGCCGGCCTGTCGTCCAGGCCCCGCCTCCCTGCCCGCGGGGTGGAGTCTCGGGGCGCCAGGCCGGCCTGCAGGTGCAGGCTGGGGGAGGGGGGTTGCTCAGCAGCTGGTGTTCGAGCAGCCCCCTCCCTTCTCCCCCTCCCTTTCCTGCTCTGGGCTTGAATCTGTTTCCTGTCATCCCTGTCAGCACCCTGGGCACGGGAGGGAACAGGTAGTGGAAGAAGTGGGGGTGGAGTTGGGGCAATGGTGGCTCTCGGGATCTGCTGAGAAATAGAGAGCAGAGGGTGAAGAAGAACCCAGAACTCTTACAGAAGGAAGGCAGGACAGCAAGACAGATGGGAGCCGGACAGAGGGTGTGAGAACCTTGGGGGGAGACCGGCCAATCTAGAGAGGGGCAAGGAAGCCCTCCGGGACTGAGACAGCGAGACCCAGCAGGCGCAGACATCAGAAAAGAGGGACTGAGAGATGCACAGACGTGACAGGGCGATGGAGGGACTTGGAGATGTTGGGTCAGGATTCAGGGCGCGGAGGCGGCAGGTAGTGTGTGGAGGAAGGGGGCATCCCACACACCAGGATGGAGAAATGCCCCCACGCACACTCAGAAGAGAAAGGATAGGACCCTTGGGGGGTGGGCTGTGGGTGGGAAGGACACCCCTATCTCTGGCGAGCCACCTTTCTCCACTAACGAGCAGGCAGGGAAGAGGCACAGGACATCCTCCCCACCCCCTTCCACCCCCCCTGCAGTCAGCCCCCTTTCCCTCTGGGCCACAGCTGGACAGACAGCTGTGGCAGCAGCTCCAGCCTACTCCCACCCTCTGATTCTGCCTCAGCCTTGGGATTCTGGTCGTGAAGGCTACCAGGGCTTGTGTGGGAAAGGGGGTACTGTCTGGGGCG